ACTGATGAGGAAAGTGACAAATAGATCAAACCTAGGGTCATTCGATTCAACACTCTCATTCCATCATGTTCATTGATTCAGGCTTCTTAGTGATTTTTTGTATTGAGAAAATATATTTTTTCTTATGTAGCAAATCATCCACTTGCATCCTCGAGAATGGAAAGGTTCCACCCATTGAACTTCTCGATGGTGGTGCTTCTGTTGTATTCCCTCTGAGATGGTGATTGTATCTTCCCCTGCCCATCTCTTTCACTCCCCTTAGCCGCCAACCACTTCAAGCTTCTCTTAACCACCACACGATCGCTGGCGACCACCCACAACACTTCCCACTTGTCGTCCCTTCAGTTCCACACCTTCCCTTCACTACCACCAGCCTCCTGTGGCTGTCGTCACCCTTTCCAATTATCTATCCCTATAGTTGACCTCCAACACCCATTAGGATACATTTAAAAGTGTTTTTAGTGTCGGTTCATGTTGTGAGTTATTATATCCATTTGAGTCATGATGTAATGTTATTTTAATATTAATGAAAGAATGTTTTTGGTGTTTCCCTACTAGTTCCGGTTCCTATCCTAAAGTTCCCTAGCATCTGCCCGTGCTCAATCCACCTCAATCAATTTTTTTCTTCCAATTCCCAACTCTTGTCATGCCACCGTAGAGAGATGTGTCAGGCTCTACTCAGGAAAAGATACAACGTGAAATTTGTCGTATGCAATGGAGACTAGCCGAGCTAGATGACGGGAATCAGGAAGAGATTACTTTCGACTGTGGTCGAGATTCATGGGTAAGACAAAAATGAGGATCTTAATCCGTTACACAGGGAAGGTCACAACGATGAAGAATATTGGTCGCTCCGTTTTGGTATTCAATATCAAAGGAGGCCAAGAGAAGAGGCTCCTTATGGAGGTCAACAGGATTTTCACATCAAGATGGACCTTTCAGAATTTGGAAGCATGGATCCCGATGAGTTTATCATCTGGCTCAATCCGTTGAACGGATTTTCGAATAAAAAGATGCTCCAGAAGATAAATGGGTCAAGCTATCCGCTGTTAAGCTAAAGAAGGGTGCTTCCCCATGCTGGAAAAATGTGCATTAGACAGAGGAAGAGAGAAGGCAGTCAAAAGATCACTAGATGGAAGAAGATGAAGAAAGTAATGCAGAAAAAGTACCTCCCACCTCACTAATACTAGGATATGTTTCTAAGCTCCACAACTTGTGGCAGAGGGATCTTTCAGTTGAAGAGTTCACTGCGCAATTCGACCATTTGCTGATGAAATTCCAGCTGACGGAGTAAGAGGAGCATACGATAACCACATATCTCGAGGGTCTGAAACTTGACATCAGCAATGTGATACAATTGCAGCCATATTGGATGCTAGGGGATGTCCAAACATTAGTCTTGAAGGTGGAAAGACAACAACAACAGGGTCAGTAACAATCATATTTCAGGCAACAATCTCTAGGCAAGCTGTCACCTACAATTACCACGACCGACAGAGATCTCTCAGGAGATACAGACAAGCCCAGATAGGGGAATTTCACTGCTGATTAAAGCTGAAAGAAACAAGAGAAGGGCAACTCTTCTAGCACGGTGCCAGCTAGGAAATGCTACCGATGCCACAACTATAACCACATTGCCTTTAGCTGCCCCACAAGCAAGGTAGTCACACGCACAGATCAAGGCGCCATAGAAGATATTAGCGATGAACAGAAAGCCGAAGAACAAGATGAGAAGTATCAGCTTCCCCCAGATGAAGTAGAGGTGCTCATGATTCGACAAGTCTTACAAACCGAGGACATGAGAGATTCACAGTGGTTTCGTCACAACATATTCTGCACCTGCTGCACAATAAACGAAGAGGTATGTAGTCTCATTATCGAAGACGGAAGCAGCAAGAACGTGACATGGACACAGCTGGTAGAGAAATTAGGACTCGCAACATAGAGACACTCCTAGCCATATTCACTTACGTGGCTGAAGGAGAATTGGGTCAACATCGACTGAAGATGCTTGGTAGAATTTTTGATCGGAGGCCAACTGCAAGATCAAGTATGGCATGACATGGTTTCCGTGGATGCATGTCACCTTCTGCTAGAAAGACCATGACAATTTCATCGAAGGATTCAACGCGTCGAATATAAAAACACATATTATTTCACCAAGGACGAGAATCACATCACCCTCCTTCATTTTACAGTGGCTGAGGTCACATGATCCCTATTCAACAGAACATTGTTAGTAGAACCAGTTTTAATGATGACACCAGACGAGATGACCAAGCCGCCCGCCCCTGATACAGGACAGATACGACCAAGGTTATGTCAGGTTGACGACGTACCAGCAACACCACCGTCGTGCGGGAATGATTCAATTACTATCAATACACGCTGAATTGAATGGAACATATGTTACTTTGGGAAGATTCACTAGCATTGGCATGGTACACAACCTCAAAAGGACATATTGATATGAACATTTACTTTCAAACTCGGGAAGACCCTCAAATACCCCGGGAAATAGTACAGTCGCCAATGGGATCCAGGATAGATGATAACGAAACAAAAGCTTCAACCAATGAAGTCAAAGCTCTCCCAACCCTAGGAGACTGATGCATACGCTACCAGGGCCCTAACTCAGACGCTAAAACAGGAGCCTTGGGGCGCTAAATTGCGCCTCGATTTGAGCTGCATTGATCTCGTGGAATCGAAGCCCTGTGAGACTTCACGGGAGCGCGAACCCGTGAGAATTCGCGAAAGCGAGAGAACCACTCGAGAGCAGGGAGCTTGTGAACCTTCGTGGGAATGAGCAGGCAAGCGGGATTACGAACATGTGCGATCCAAATGGGCTTCAATAGTGGAATTTGGTTTTTCTGGATTTTTCTAGGCTTGCCACTCTCTTCCTTTGTGTAGAAGTTTCCTTTAGGTCTATAAATTGCTGTCTTTGAGTATGTGGTAGTTAGATTAGAGTTGTGTTTTGACTTTAGCTTCAAATCTTCTATGTGGAGTTTCTTTTCCCTTTGTGGGCTATATCCGAAGAGATGGTGGTGCTCCGGCTGTATCCCCTCTGGGTTGATGATTGTATCTTTCCCCTTTTATCCTTCCTAACCCATCTCTTTCACTCCCTTTAGTTGCCGACTACTTGAAGCTTCTCCTAACCACCACTCGATCGTTGCCGACTACTCACAACCCTTCTCTTGTTGTCCCTTCAGTTCCACTCTTTCCCTTCGCTATCACCACCTTTTGTGGTTGTCATCCCTTCTTTCAATCATCCCCTTCCCTCTAGCCGACTTCCACCACCCATTAAGATACATTTAGGAGTGTTGTTTGTCTCGTTTCATGTTGTGGGCTGTTATTTCCGTTCGAGTCATGATGTAATCTTATTTTAATGTTAATGTAAGATTATTTTTGGTGTTTCTACTATTTCCCCTACTAGTTCCGGTATCAGGATGTGTGGTCGAGAAGGTGCGTGCGTAACTGTTTATAACCATTAAAGCAAATCTATGAGCTCCCGTAGGAGAGATAGTAGTAGTGAAGAACAAGAGCCTTTGAATGAGATTTGATGGAGGCTAGTGTAGCAAGATTGCCATACGAGAATTAAGATAGAGGCCTAAAAGATGCTGGAGGGTCTAGGTGGTTGGTAGGAAAGATAGGGGCTCTAATTGCACTAATATGTTAGAATTAAAATTTGTAATGGTCTACATCTTTATTAAATTATCATATTGTACAAGTTTATATGTTCGTAGGTATAGATTAAAAAAAACTAAAATTATAATTACAATAAAGGAGAATATCATCAATAATGAGAAAATATTATAATAATAAGAAATGCAAATTTGTATTATATATAATTTAGTTCATATGGTAATTTAAATATAATGGCACCATTCAAAGAGTATATATATGAACATGATTGGTGATGTTTATGTTGGTTAGAACATAATCACCTGGTTGCTTTGTTTCCAGTAACCATGGCGTAAAATTTAATATCATTTATCTATATGATAGTTTATTGATTTGACGCAGAAGCTTGAAAGCTTCTGATTTTTCAAGTTTGTTAGCTACTGCATCAATGCTTTTGGGGGAGTTAGAAGGTTTAAAGAATTTTGGTTGCATCATCTACATGTATTCATGCAAAGTTAAGTAAACTAAAATGAAATCTGCCTGCGATGATCGACTTGGTTATTAGGCCTGGGCCATAAATCCAGCCGTTCCATGTACACAGTTTCTTTTATTCACTTTTTATCTTCTCTAAACAGCAAAATGTAGTTTGATATAGTTTGATTGTACACTTCAAAGATTGATGTTGTTTATTATGAAATCCTTCTTTCGACTGTGATATCAACATTATTTGGGAAGATATACATACATACCGTTTAATTTCTATATATTTACATATCTAGCACCTAAAATCTAATTTTTACACATTATACCTCACCTATGGATGAAAAGATGTATTTCAATTTTCAGAAGTTAAAATAGTGGTATTTTTTTAATTTTAGTTTCGACTGTGCGCCTTTTGTTTTTTGGCATTTCTAGCAAAATGCATGTTTTTTACTGGCTTGCAACACGGCCAATCATATTTAGGAGCAAGGGTTTCCGTCCTTCAATTATTTAATGTGCACTTTTTCTAGTGCATGTGAATTATCTTTGGAATTTTGCTTTAGCTTTGGCATTTCAAAATTCTATGCTTCCTTTTATTACTAGGTGCGGAAAGTACTGGAACAATACCCTAATAAGTCTGGTATATGAGCAATGTGGAATGGTTAGGAGGAAAAATGGATTGACCAAAAGAAATAGCGTCTAAAATAACACTTATTAGGAATGAATTGAGAATCAGAATTTGTAAAACTAACTTCAAATAATCAAAATAATTTTACTAATGGCGATGTCTATAAGGAGGAAATTTTATTTGAGTGTATTTACTACTTTTGATAAAAAAATCAGCACTTCTTAAGACTTGTACATTATTAAAACTTTTTTGTTGTTTATCTTCTTGGCAGGAACATTTTGGGACACTTAGAGATGAGTTTAGCAGCGAAGTAGAACTTCTTGCCAAAATTGAACACCGGAGTTTAGTCAGGTTACTTGGTTACACCGAAAAAGGAAATGAACGCATTATTATTACGGAGTATGTACCAAATGGTATTCTCAGAGAGCATCTTGATGGTAAGCTGCATGATATGGTATAAGTAGTTTCAGTCTTATGCTTCTAGGAGTATTTATGTTCCAGTTTAACTTCCACAGGTCTGCACGGGCACATTCTGGATTTTAATCAACGCCTTGAAATAGCAATAGATGTTGCACATGCCTTGACATATCTCCACCTATATGCAGGTAAAGATGGCTATTAGTTCAGCATTCCTTGGCAGATAAAGAAGTTATAACTAATTTGTTTGATTTAAGACATGCGGACAAGCTAATTGGCCATTTGTGATTACTTTTGATTTTGATTTTTTTTTAATTTTATTTTGTAGATATTTTTACTTGAACTAAACATTATTGGTATGTTATAATATTATTAGTTGTTTCTAAAAATATCTTTACTCTGGAGCATGCTTGACTCGATTTTTTATGAGGCATGATCTGAAAAGGTTGTCCCAATTTGAGGATATATTTTTTGTAATATTTTGTAGTAAATTTCAATATATATATATTTTACTGATATATAAAATTCACCTTTGCAACCTTGGAAACGCTCAATTCAAATATGATCTTTAAAAGTCATTCTAGATAATGAGATTATGGATTATATATAACTTATGGAATGAAGTACCCCTTGATATGGTATACATAAGTCTCTAGGGCAGCTACAACACTTTATTAGTGCATGGTAGAAATCATCAACATTGACAACAAATTCTTCTATCGTTTGGGAGGATAATCGCGGTCTGCATCTACCTTTTTCATGTGATATTGTACATTGAGTCAATTGAGACATGACGTTTGTTTTCAGTTTCCACAAATATCTCGCATTTCTTACTTTTCTGCATTGATTTACCTTGAGGTCAATTTTATATCCCATTGCATTTTACATCAAAAATATCGTTATGGTATCATCCAATTTTCCAAATTGTAGTTTAGATTTACTAATGGATGGTACGGTACAGTGCAATCGATGATGCCTGATATTCAGCCCCGCATACAATGGAAAGATCCGTATCCTACATTGTCTTATCTTTGTAACCAACATACCTCGTGACTTGCCTCCTGGAAAAATTATTGCATCAGGACAAGTGTCCAATTAAAAATGGTCACATGGAAGGTGGGTCCCACTTTTTAAAAAAACAACAAAGAAATGTGTATTTCAGTGGGCCTCATATTTGCAGGTGGACAATTTTAATTGGACTTTGTGTCCGGTGTCCTGACACAATAATTTCTCTCCTGAATAGTCTCCCATAGGATATGTTAGAACCTATCATTAATATTTAATTTTTCAGTATAACATTAAATTATAAAAAGAACTAATTTTTAGCTTTCCTCATGCATAAATCAATCAATGAATGGAGAGGCTGGATTTATAAGCTGATCCTAATTAATAGGGATAAGAAGGAACAACGTGATCAAATGAACTACTTATGTTTACTAATGTAAGTGTATGGTCTGAATTTTTCATCTATCAGCATCTTTTCTCCATGTTTTTTTAAAAATTAATGTCCATCCCATGCCTTGCCTCAGTTTGTGCATGATAGCTGATAAATCATTTTGTGCTAAATAAGATAATACTTGGTGGCTTTACTAGCAGTTGCAATATTTCTATTTTCAGAAGGTTATTTCACCACTGGGTGATTCTCATTTAACAGATGCCTTTCTTAAATTTTCTTACAGAAAAGCCCATAATCCACAGAGATGTGAAAGCATCAAACATTCTTCTAACTGAAAATTTTAGAGCTAAGGTGTCTGACTTCGGGTTCGCAAGAACCGGGCCAACAGAAGCAGGACAGACTCACATATCAACTAAAATAAAGGGAACAGCCGGTTACCTCGACCCCGAATATCTTCGAACTTATCAACTCACTCCCAAGAGTGATGTATTTTCATTCGGCATACTGCTAATTGAAATTTTATCCGCTCGTCGTCCGGTTGAAATGAAGAGAAGCGTGGATGAGAGGATTACCATCCGATGGGTAACGAATGCCGCATTTTATGCAATATTTAATTTTGTTATAATACTGTCTGCCTCATTATGCAAAACTTGTTCATACTTTAGAGTTGTTTACAGGCTTTCAATAAATTCAATGAGGGAAATATCAGAAAGGTAGTTGATCCAATGTTGCAGGAAGAAGTAAACATTGAAGTAGTCACAAAAATGCTTAGTTTGGCGTTCCATTGTGCCGCTCCGACTCGTCTTAAGCGGCCATTGATGAAAGAAGTAGTAGAGCAGCTGTGGGAGATTAGAAAAGACTTTGGCAAGAGTATTAGAATTGAGCATTAAACTTAACCTGTAAAAAAAAAAGAAAAAAGAAAAAAAAAAGAGATTATTTCTGAAGGTGTAAAGGAAAACAAGCTGTTTGTATGACCCATTTCCTACTGTAGATTAGCAGCCTTTAGTGGACTTGAACCGTTTTTGTGCTCTCAAATTGTTTAATATTCTTCTCATGTAATATAACTTGTTTTGAATTACTACTTTATGTGCAAATGTTTTATCACACATGGCAAGATTTAGATTAATGAATTTACCAATTTGATGCTGAGATTGATCAGAAGTAGTTCTTTGTCATGGGATGTAATATGAGCTTCCATTAAGATATTTTACAAGCCTACAACTAAGAAAACATATTCTTTTAAGATGTGCAGAATTTTTTCATTACTATAAGCTCAATTTGAATGAAGTAGTTGGGTCATCACAAATCATAAATGATTAACAAGTCATTTTTATGTGCAATGATATCATTATAAATAATTTTTATATAAGTTATTATGATGACATGAATAAAATAATTTATGGGTATTTTGTTCTTTAGGGATAAGTCTTTTAGGGCTATAGCTTGGTGGTGGTTTAGGAAATCCTCCTTGAAGTATTTGCTTTGTTTTATTATGCACAAGAGAATTATAACCTTAAATAATTGTGCTAATACTCACACATATCAAGATTAACTATAATCATAATCATGATTAAGTATAACCATTAGAAAAATAAGCAAATTCCTTACAATTAAATCTACCATTTTGTAATCCCACCTCCATCAACTTCAATGTAAATTTTGAAACTATCCCAGTATTGCTTCTATTTCCTCTTTTCAAATGCAAAGTTGCTAAACTATCTTGAACTTTCTATCATTCATAAAGAGATTCTTATGCAAATTGTTGGCCAAGTACTACAGGTTTCATGCATCAACCAATTAGATATTTATTTCTATAAGAGCATGTATAATTCATTAAAACATGCACCAGATGTGTGCCTTTGCCATCTTCAATATCTCATAGTTCAAACATTCCAAAGTAAAAGACAGATTGAACCTCCAATAAAGGCAAGCAAACATAACTAAAGTTTAAAACTGATGATCCAGATCAACAAGGACAACAAAATAGGGCTTAAAGTATAAATTAATCTCAACATCCCTCTACCAATATAATAAATATTACAAAAACCAAATCCAGAATCTTGTCAACAAAGTGATAAAATTGTAACAAATAGGGTTAATGACAAAAAGATTTGAAGAACAAAAAGCAGGGTCCATTAGAATCAGTCAAATGCATGCCTCTAATCATTGTAAATCAGTTGTTGAGAGGATGAGTGGCATGGACAAGCATCATGGATGGTCTGAGACCTACCGGAGATGAGGCCTACTAATGATTGGAAAGTGGACAAGGCTATGTTGTGTAGCCAAGGGTACTACAACTATTGTTGATATGCCAGAAGATTAGCATCTGAATATCCAAGTGTCCCTGAGAGCTAAAAAGGATGATCCGGATGTGACAATGAGTTTGAGGTCATAGTAAGAGGGGTGGGCTTGTGTACTTAGCATGAAATTTAGCTTGTGTCACCTGAAACAACCATCAACACAAAATAATAAATCAATAGCTAATCAAAAATCTACTTTGAGACATATGTGACATATTGGAGAGCTAAAATCATGAGCAAGGTTCCTAATATATACAATAGTGTATGAAAGATTGTTCTCCGAAGCATCATCATCGAATACACTTGAATATATATATATATATATATATATATATATATATATATATATATGTATGAAGGTTTACTGTTACAATAGCCAGAAATACCATTTGTTAATGCCAACCCAATTTGATTATCACTAAAAATACTAACTTTAAAATAAAGCTTTGTCGCTCTCATGATTTGGTAAATATTGCAATCCTAGAAACAAAACTATTTAAGAAAAAAAGAGTTAATATCTCATCATATCAAGGTTAGCATGTGCCTGAAAATTAGTTTGTTTCAAAGCCAAAGAATTTTAATCCATACTTTCAAATTCCACCTAACCATGTGAACTCACCACACAAAAACAACCTAGAAATCTGAACATGAGAACTCCAATTTGAAATACTACATTTTCTTAGATTATCTTTAATTTATTGATGTCAATTAGGATTAAAGGAAAAATGTAACTGAAATTCTAACTCTAACATTTTGAACAAAAATTTAAGAGTATCCATGAATAGACCAACAAGTAGATTGATAAACATAACTGCTACTGGTGAGCATGTTGATGAGCAAAGCAACTTTACCCAATGCCTTGTGAGACAATTCAGTTTTGTCTTAAGAAATATCTTAAACTATAGAAGGTTTACAGTTAGGTGGGTCAATGAAATGTACCATCAAGTAAAAAATAAATTTATGGCATTAAACATTAAAAAAAAAAAAACCAAATGTGAGTGCAAATAATGGACCATGCTTCAAACCCCTATGAAGAAAGCCAATTTTGTGCATATAGGTAAGCCCTTACAAAACATGTGACATTGATATACATATCTCTGACTCTAAAAAAGGTCATTGCCAATCTCTCATAATTTGATAAAGATTTTAATATTGGAAATAAAAAAACTATATAATTAATAATGAGTGACAATATCTCATTTTTTCAAACTTCATACTTGAAGTAAAAAAAAAAAAAAACAATTCCTCATAATGTGCTAAAAAATAAGGAAAATGACTTAACTCTCCTTGGCAATCTCATTCAACATGATAATATTATGGTGGTTTAGCTTTTGTAGCAACAAAAGTTTGAATTTGTAATATTTTCAAATTAAAAAATAAAAAATAGCTACCCAAAATAGAAAAAACTTGAACCAAGCCTATTTAAATCTTCAAAATTAACAGCTTAGAAACCAAAATTTTAAAATTGCATATAATCATAAGAGAAACTATTTTAATTGAGATTTTTTCTTAAATAATTACCTATTTTATGATGTAATTAACTATAGAAGCTTACTTTTATAGAAAATTAAATAAAATATCTCTTACTCAAATTGGGTAGGAGAAAAATATCCGTGTGAATCCTGAAATTATAATTTATGATTAAATCCATTATTGAATAATATTTTTATTTTTTTTGAGAAGATATATTATTTGAATATTATATTCAATCCCAAAATAAAAAAAATTCAGCTTTTATATGATTCACTTGATCCTCTACCAATGCAATGTGTATGAAAAATTTTTATTATGAAAAATATAGATTTGGTCTTTATCTATCTCAAAGAAGATTAAAAGTTTTCTTCATAGTACATTTGATATGCAATAACATGCAATCTAGTGATTTTTAGACAATTCTCTTAGCTTTCTAACAAGCTTAACTAAAAATAAATTGAAGTTTTGAGATGGGAGATATGCAAAAATCTAAAAATGTATGAATGAGCGAGAGCTTTAAAACTTGTTGAATTGAGATCAGATAAGATTGAAGAGGTACTTATAAAATTATGATAATGAAGTAAGGAAAAATACATAAAACATTATCTAAAATTGTGTTATTGTTTGGTTTCACTCATGTTGAATAGCCTTTTATGTATTAGGCTAAAATCATAAAAGTCTGTGACCTTAAAAAAGTCCACACTAAGAGAGTGCCAAGAATATTAAGCTGAAAGAGCAATAAGACCCCAATGAAAAAAAAAAATCTTTTCATTAATAATTAATAATGATGATTGTGATGATTATAATTTTAAATTAAACAAAATATTTTATTTTTTGTGATATATCATTAAATCTAAACTTATTCTTTGAAGATGATTCTTCATTATATACTTGTGCATAAAGTAACAATGTCATTAGAAGATCTCAAGCCCCGAATGTAAAAAAATTGAGAATAGCATTAGTTAGTCAACAACAAGCATAAATTTTTTGTAGACAAAATCATGACATGAATCTTTTAAATCATTGTGTAAATATTAGGGAATCCTTTAGAAACAACAAACTATATGACCTGAATACAGTAAAAGTGTGCAATGACCGCTAAATTGATATCTAGAAGCAGTGTTAAATATGCAAAGGTTCTCATATTATGGACAGATGCAAATAAATAATTTAGTTCATGAAATTAATATGAGGATAAGATCTTAAAATATATGTATTCTCATATTTAAATTAATAGGATTAGTAGATATTATAGTTCATAAAAATATAAATATCTTATACATTTAAAATATTAAATGGGTTGGAGAAAAAGCTAATGAGATTGATAGCTTAGGTTTTAAACTTTATTATTCAAGTATGAGAGGCACTAGAAATGATGTAGGTGTAATTATAAATAAGAGTTTGAAAGATAATGTTGTAATAATTAATAAATTTGAAGATAGAATTATAGCTCTAAAGATTGTTATGGATACTAAGATTTTTAATATTATAAGTGCTTATGCTCCTCAAGTAGGTTTACATATAATTTCAAAAGAAAAAATTTTTGAAATGATCTAGAAGAATCAATACAAATGATACCTCTTGAAGAAAAAAGATTTATTGGAGGTGGTAGAAGATTTTAAAAATATTCATGGTGACTACGATTTTGGAGTGAGTGATTAATGAAGAAGGTAGAAATTAAATTTTACTTTAGCTTATGATTTTGTTATTGCTAATACTTTATTTGAGAAAAGAAATGAACATATTATTATAAGAATGTACCTAATAAAACACAAATTGATTATTTTTATGAAAAAAAGAGATTGTCAAGAATGAAATGATTATAAGGTCCTTTCAAATGAAAATTTAAGTACTTAGCACTGATTATAAGTTATGAATTTTAAGATGAGAAGTTGGAATATAATTATAATGTAATATTATCATAGAATTAGATGGATGCATCTGAAAGGCAGAAATAAAATTATTATTATGAATAAACCTAAAGATTTAAAGATTTGGGATGTTTAAGAAGAAGCCAATTCTAGTAAAGTGTATTAAAGATAAAAATAAAAAAAAAATTCTTAGAGGAAGATATTCAACATAGGTAGGTTTGATAAATTCATCAATAAGGTTTCTAAGAATACGATTGACCTTAATA